ACAGGACTGTACAGCTTATATCTGATCCATTGGTTGTGGGATCACTTACCTCTGATAATCACTTGTTGCTTATGCTGTTTGGCACATATCCTCATGGATGCCCCATCTCAGTTCTAGATCTGTTCAAAGTCTGTCCCATTTCGCATGGTGATCGTGCCACACAACACGATGGAGGGTATTCTCAATGTGAATGTGGGATTTGTCTCAACAAGGACTGTGCGGTGGTCACTCTTACTGATACTGTCATGGACAGGTACATCTGCAGCTGGCAGATTGGTGAGGATGAGGTCAAGTATGTTTTTCCCTCTTGTTGGTTCCCTCACCACCTGCTGCAAACCCAGTCTAGCAATTATGTCCTTTAGGATCCAATCAGCTCCATCAGTAGGACTGCTGTTGAGTCACTCGGTGCTGTACATTGAAATCCCCCACCCAGAGTGTATTCTGCACCCTTGCCACCTTCAGTGCTTTCTCCAAGTGTTGCTGAGGGAGGACAATACATGGTAATCAGCAGGAGGTTTCTGTGCCCACTTCATGGGGTCTGAAGTCAATGTGGAGGACTCCCAGGGCAACTCCTCACAACTGTATACCACTGTCTGCTACCTCTGCTGGGTCTGTTCTGCTGTTGGTAGAGAACATATCCAGGGATGGTGATGGTGGTGTTCAGAACATTGTAAGGTACGATTCCGTAAGTATGAATATGTCAAGCTGCTGCTTGGCTAATCTGTGAGATGGCTCTCCCAATTTTGGCATGAGTCCCAAAATGTTAGTGAGTAGGACTTTGCTGGGTCAACAGGGCTGTTTCTGTCATTGCCTGTTTCCATGCCTGCGTGGATGCCAGATGGTCCATCTGGTTTCAGTCACTTGTTGAGACTTTGTAGCAATTGATACAACTGAATGGTTTGTTAGGTCATTTCAGAGGGCAGTTAAGAGTCAGCCATATTTCTGTGGGTTTGGAGTCACATGTTGGCCAGACCTGATGAGGATGGAAAATTTCTTTTCCTGAAGGCCATTAGTGAGCCAGATGGGATTTTCAGATGATCGTCAATTATTTCATGGTGATCAGTCGATTCTTAATTCCAGGTAACTTTTTCAAAATTGAATTCAAATTCCCTCATCTGCCAAGGCAGAATTCAAATCTGGGTTACCAAAACATTAACTGAGTTTCTGAATTACCACATGAGACGTAAGTTCTGGATCATTGGTCAATGTTATTGACCGTAAGTTTTGGCTGATCACTTGCCATCGCTTTGGCACAAACAAACAAAACTCCCTGAGAAAAAGCCAAAGAATTGTAGGTGCTGGAAATCTGAAACAAAAACAGAAATCATTGGAAAAAACTCAGCAGGTCTGGTAGCATCTGTGGAAAGAAAGCAGGATTAATGCTCCAGGTCCAGTGACTCTGTTCACTGAGCTTTTCCAGCAATTTCTGATTTTGTTTCAGAACTCTGAGAAATGGAGGAAAGTATAATTTGGTCCTCACACAATTGTGAGTGAAATTTATGGTGAAATTTGGAAAAATCATGACAAATAATGAATCTAATTCACTGTCGAGCATCAGTGGATTGTAGATTATCCATTGCCCATGTATTGCTGGGTCACAGGATGCCAACAGTGTCAATTTGCACTGTCTTTCTGACCTGGGTGCTACCAAGAGGTTAGCTCATTTCAATCACTGTGTACATGACAGTGCACACTGAGTCAGGGGTTGGATATATCCTGACCCTTTGATATCCAGGCATTCTGCATCTCTCCAAGTGCACATAAGAAAGTGTCAATGAAATAGAAGGACATACCATTCACGATACCTGTTCTGACCTATGCTGAAGCTCTGCAATCCAACATGGTTTAAGTGCCAAACAGCATGATGTTACATTATCTCCAGTGTGAAGAAGGGACGTATTTCTTGGCAAGGACGGTACACTTGTCACTCCTGACATTCCTGTCATAGATCAAGGTATCTGCAACAGGACGACAGTTGAGGAAAAGCTTAAGTAGCTTTTCACTGTTGTGCTTTTTCTCTCACCACAACATGCAGGCCCAGTCTAGCAGGTTTGTTGTTCGGGATTTGGCCATTCAATCTGTTATACTGAGACAATGTAGATTATGGACATTGAAGTCCCTCATCCAGTTTACAAGCTATGTGTCTTCCAAGCAGTGTTTAACAAGGTGAAGTACCAAAAGAGACCATAAGACATAGGAGCAGAAATTAGGCCATTCAGCCTACCGAGTCTGCTCCGCCACTTAATCATGGCTGATAAGTTCCTCAACTCCATTCACCTGCTTTCTCTCCATAACCCTTGATCCCCTTGATAATCAGATTCATCAGCTGAGACTGTGGTATCAATAATTATACAATGGTTTCCTTGTACATTTGGACCTGATGCTGTGACCGTTTAAGGGGTTCAGGGTCATTGTTCAGGACATTCGGGGCCATGATTTCCTGGCTTTATACTACTGTGTTGCTACCTCTTTTTTAAAAAAAAAATTTCAAAATATTCTTTATTCATAAAAAAAGTCTTTATATTCATATATAATTACTAAAGCAGTTTGGTTCTGTATGGTCTTGGCATATGGAGAACAAACAAACATTGGAATTTGACTTTCCTAACAGTTGAAACAAAATCGAGGCATTTCTTACTTATGCAAGATACTATTTACATAGATTTGAGGCACCAGAAGGGTCCGATGACTGTACTTTGGCTGAAAGACCATAGATGATGGTTTTTCCCCACTGTGCCTTGGCAGCAGCTGCCCAAGTTTTAGTGCGTCCCTCAGCACGTGGTCCTGGGCCTTGGGATGTGCCAGTCTGCAACATTGGTTTGAGGTCAACTTCTTGAAATGGAAGACCAACAAGTTTCGGCCAAACCGAAGAGCGTCTTTCACCGAGTTGATGGTCCTCTAGGTGCAGTCATGTCTGTCTCAGTGTGCATCCCAGGGAACAGACCACAGAGCATACAGTCCTGCATCACGGAGCTGCTCAGGATGAAACTCGACAAAAAACACAGCATCTTTCTCCAGATTTCCTTTGCTAAGGTGCATTCCAGCAGGAAATGTGTGACAATCTGAACCTCCCCATAGCTGTTTCAAGGGCAGCATGCGGTGGCGCACTGACTGGGCATATTGAAGGATTTCACAGGTAGTACCCTTCTCACCACGAGCCAAGTGATATCTTGGTGCTAAAATAGCCTCTGATTGTCTCTGAATTACGGCATCTGCAGTTCTTTTGATATCTGGTGATGAGGCATTCTGTCAAATGACTTTAACAGTCTGCGCAGGGAACTACCTGATAGGATCTGCCTTCACCTTTTTCCGCAGGATCTCAAGGATGCTACATGCTGACCACATCCTGATGGACTTGTGGTCAAAGGTATTTTTCTTTGCAAATTTCTCCATGAAGGGCAAGTGATACAGAACAGTTCAACTACTTGAAGCATTCCATGGCAGCGAGGCCAGTCCCATCCTTCGCAAAACCGGGGACAGGTAGAACCTTAGTATGTAGTGACACTTGGTGTTTGCATATTGAGAGTCTATGCACAGCTTGAAGAAGCCACACATAAAGGTGGTCATCAGGATGAGGATGTTCTCCTCCCACCTTATTCAGAGTTTTGTACATGGTGTCCCTGTGGACATGGTCCATCTTAGACCTCCAGATGAAATGGATGATGGCTCAGGTGACTGCAATGGCACAGGCTCTGGGAATGGGCCAGAACTGCACCATATACAACTGCACCAAGAGTACCTCACACTTGATGATCAGGATTTTACCCCCAGTGGAGAGGGAGTGACACTCCCAAAAACCCAGTTTCAGCCTCATTTTGATGATGCACTCATTCCAAGTTTTTGCACACACCCTGGCCCCTCCAAACTATGTTCCCAGCACCTTCAGGTAATCAGTCCTAATGGTGAACAGCATAAAGGATCAGTTGGCTCAATTCTCAAAGAACATGGGCTCGCTCTTGCCTTGATTTACCTTGGCTCCTGAGGCCAGTTCAAACTGGTCTCAGATGCTCATGAACATGCGCACTGACAGCAGATCTGAACAGAAAAAGGCATGTCATCCATGTACAGGGAGGCTTTGACCTGCAGGTCTCTGTTGTCTGGAATAGTCACCTCTCTCAGACTCACACCTTTCCTGATGGACTCAACAAAAGGCTCTATATAACACACAAACTAGGTAGGAGAGAGTGGGCAGTCCTGCCTGACTCCAGATCTGATCAGGAAGTTTTCTGATTCCCACCCATTAATTGAGTCTGCTCCTTAATGATGTTTGTGTTGAGCTGTTGGATCCAGTTGTGAATTCCCTACCCAAAGCCCATTTTGGACAGCACGTCATACATGTATGTAGGATATTCAGTCAAAGGCCTTCTCCTGGTCCCAGCAGATGAGGCAGGTGTCCACTCTTCTGTCCTGCACGTAAGTGATTGTATCCCTGAGTAGCGCGAGACAGTCAGAGATCCTCTTGCCTGATACAGCACAAGTTTGGTCAGGGTGAATCACTGATCCCAAAGCAGACCTGACCTGGTTGGCAATGGCCTTACATAGGATTTTGTGATCTGCACTCTGCATTGCAATTGGTCGCTAATTTCTAACTTGCCTCTTATGGTCCTACTAGAGGAACAGGGCATGCCTAGGAACTTCATTGGAAGAGTATGGGTTGTTGGCTGACATGTCTGATTCTGTGCGTGTAACTATGAAACTTTGTAATGCAACTAGTCTGTGGGACAATTTTCTTGACATATTGCAAGTTCCCATATGGTGGTGACGTGAACTGTACACAATTAAAGGGGCTGGGATGTGTCTTTGTCAAGGTCAATACTGATGCCCTGTACAGTTTTTCTTGAAAACTAATTTGATACTTGGTTGTTCTCAACTGTGATTTGACCTTTACTTGGTTCAGATACAAGATTTCCACTGATCAGATCACAGCTGACACTTTAAATGTAGACAGATCACATTATCAGCAGATCAATGGGAGTCACTGATGAACAGTAACCTCTTACCTTGTGGATTGTGGATGATAGGTTTCTCTGGAAATCAAGAATTAACATTTTAATCATTAACAGGCAGAGACAGTTTGACTTACCCATGTTTAAAAATCAGAAAGGGAAAGAAGACATCATTTCTGCAACAAATCTCATTTATACAAACAGTTGATATCTCATTGTCAAAATGATCAAACTTTTCAGTAACAGAAACAGAAGGTTGTGAAACAGACCTGAATGACTGAATGCATTGTTCTTGTACCTTTGTGTGAAGCACACTAGCTGAGGCTAATCGCATGCCAATCTGACCCAAAAATAATTCTTATCAATATACAAAATAAAAATATCAAAATGCAGATCACACATTTATTAGAACCTTCCAGCAATTCAATTCTAAGACACAGTCAACATTCTTTAATTTACATTGTGTCAATACTGATTCCTGACTGATATGGCACAATCTGGCAGTGCTCCCAAAAAAAACATAAGCCATCATTTACTCTTGACCCAACTGTGAAATTTAGGGAAATCATTTCAAATAATCCCTTTCAAAGATCAGTAGATTGTAGATAATGCAGTGTCAGGACAAAGAGAATCTATTTACACAATCTTAGTGAACTCTGTGTTGTCAGGAATTCAGCTCATTTGAATAATTTTACATATCCGCTCTAGCACCCTCTGACCTTTGGTATTATCTGCATGCACTGCATGCAAAACAAAACTTTTTACTGTACCTAGGTATATGTGACAATAGTAAATCAAATCAAATCAAATCTAATCTAACCAAATCACACAGGTCCAGGTCCAGGAAGCATCACAATCCTTTGAGATGCAAAGATTCATCAGTTCCTAAGTTCTCACTTTAAAAGGAGTGATAAGAATTTATATAAGCTCCTTGCATTATCATCGTGCATTCACATTAATTAAGTAAATTAAACCGTAGCCACGTCTAGTAAGGGGGCAAGTGCAAAAGCCAATCTATGCACTACAAATATACCATGCACAGAAATGTGACCAGATTTTCTGATTAACTTTGAAGAATGAATAATACCCAAGTCTCAGTGAATAACTCATCTGTTCTATTCTGAAAAAAATGCCAGGGAAACTGAAACGCCAATCTGAGGGGCCCCAAGCTTTCAGTTTTTAAGCAAAGGACAGCACCTCTGACAACACTGCACTCTCTTAGCACTGCACTATTGTGCCACCTGGATTTTTTTAGTCAAGTTCGATACAATGTTTAAAGCTATAAATATTGTCCCAGAGTCACTATTTCTCCCAACACCGCACTTGCTGACACTTAGATTTGGATGTAGCTAGAACTAGGGACGAGATGAAAATGAAGGGAATCAAAGATGTTCATTCACTAGAGTAGGTTTTGTCACCTGGTGGATAGTAGTCACTTGATTTTCCTGGAAAACAAGATTTGAATTCAAGCAATATGAATGGTAGGGAAATTTATATTTTAAAATAAAGACGTAATTTTTGCAGTTAACTCTAGAAAAATGACAGCTAAGCCTGCTTGTCAGAACAGGTGGGCAATTAAATTATAAAAATCTGAATGTTTGAGGGACTAAATGAATTAATCTTGTACATTTATGACAAACAACTGTCATTGTGTTGGTGTAAAGAGGGACCAAGAAGAATTTTAATCAAAGAATCATACAAAAATATCAAATCACCCATCCCATCACATGTTTATGAGAACGTCACAGTGGCTGAATTCTGGGTCATTGACCAGTGTTATTGACTGTGAACTTCAGTTGTAACATAGTGCTGGCACACACAGGCAGAACTCCCAGAGAAATGGCTGGAAGTGTCACTTGGGCCTTAAGAATTGTGAATGAAATCCACTGTGAAAATTTGAAAATCCATGAAAAATAACGTGTCTAATTCCCTGTCAAGATTATACAGTATCCATACATTATCAGATCACAGGGTTCCAACTGTGCAAACTTACACAGTCCAGCAGAACTGAGTGCTATCAGGAGGTGAGCTCATTTCAGTCATCGTGTACCTGACACGGAAACCTGAGTCAGATGTTGTAAATGTTCTGATCTTTCGATATTCAGGCATTCTTTGGCTCTCCAAATGCACAGAAGAGAGTGTAAATGAAAAGAAAAGAAATTCAGTTATGTGGCACCTTTTTTTGATATCTGTTCTCAACATATACAATTCAGCATGGTGCAAGTGCCACATAACATTCCCAGTGTGAAGAAAAGACATATTATTTGCAAGGATTGTACACTTGTCCCTCTCAACATTACTGTCATAGATCAAGGTATTTGCGACAACAGGATAGTTGATGATGGGCTCAAGTAACTTTATTCACTTGTACTCATTCCCCCACCACATCACCCCCAGGCCCAGTCTAGCAGATTTAACTTTTGGACTTTGGCCAGTAGTTCTGCTATATTGACCCATTCTAGGTCATGGACAATAGAAGTTCCCCATCCAGTCTGCAAGCTGTGCATAGATTCATAGAGTAATACAACACAGAAACAGGCCCTTCGGCCCAAAATGGTCCATGCTGACCATGGTACCCATTCAGCTAGTTCCAATTGCCTGCATTTGGTCCATATCCCTCTAAACCCTTCCCATCCATGTACCTATCCAAATGTTTTTAAAATGTTGCTATTGTACCTGCTTCAACCACTTTCTCTGGCAGGCCATTTTATATACGTATCACTCTCTGCATGAAAAAGTTGCCCCTCAGGTTCTTCTTAAATCTTTCCTCTCTCAAACCTATGCCCTCTAGTTATCAATTCCCCTTCCCTGGGAAAAAGACACTATGCATTCATACTATCTATGCTCCTCATGATTTTATAAACCTCAATAAGGTCACCCCTCATTCTCCTATGTTCCAAGGAATAAAGTCCTCTCCTGGCCAACCTCTCCCTATAACTAGTCCTGGCAACATCCTCATAAATCTTCTTTGCACACTTTCCAGTTTAACTATGTCTTTCCTATAACAGGGTGACCAAAACTGTACACAATACTCCAAGTGTGGCCTCACCAATGACTTATAAAACTGTAACATGACGTCCTAGCTCCTGTACTCAATGCCTTGACCGATGAAGGCCAGCACGCTAAATGCCTTCTTCACCACCCTGTCTACGTGTGATGCTGCTTTCAACAAACTAGGTACTTGTACTCCTAGATCCCTCTGTTCCACAACACTCCTCAGGACCTTACCATTTACTGTACAAGTCCTATCTTGGTTTGACTTTCCAAAGTGCAACACCTCACACTTATCTGTATTGAATTGCATTTGCCAATCCTCAGCCCATGTCCCCATCTGATAAAGATCCCTCTGTAATTTTTGATAACCTTATAGAACTGTAACATACCTCCTAATTTTGTATCATCTGCAAATCATACTAATCATACCTTGTACATTCACATCCAGATCACTCATTAAATAACAAATAACAAAGGTCCCAGCACCAACCCTAGTGGCACACCACTAGTCACGGACCTCCAGTCCAAGAAACAACCTTCAACCATCACCCTCTGCTTCCCACCATCAAGCCAATTTTGAATCCAATTAGCTAGCTCTCCCTGGATCCCATGCACTCTAACCTTCATGACTAGCCTGCTGTGCGGGGCCTTGTTAAAGGCCTTACTAAGGTCCATACAGACAACATCCACAGCCCTACCCTCATCTATCCTCTTGTGTTGTGTAACAAGAAGGAGCTCTTATTCATCAGCTGTGAGATTGTGGTCTCGATAATTGGAGGGTGGTTTCCTTTTAATTTGACTGAATGCAGTGAGCCTTCAAGTGATCCAAGTCATTGTTGAGGACTTCCAGGTCATGATTACTTGACTTTATAGGACTGTGCTGCTACTTCTTATAGATATTCCTCCATTCTCCGTCCACACTTCGGAAAATTGGATCACAATGCTGCTTTCCTCCTCTGAGCTTACAAGCAGAAGCTGAAATGGGAGGACCCTTCACAGAAAGAAATACAGTGCTGGTCTGAGGCAGTGGAAGAGGGTCTCTGGGACTGCTTCAAATTGGAGGACTGGATCATATTCAAGTACTCAGCGGAAAACCTGGATGAATATGGCACCATGTCACGGATGTCATTAGCAAATATATGGAGGACTACGTGCCAAAGAAGTCAATCTGGGTGTTTCCCAACCGGAAACCTTGGATGAACCAGGAAATCCACTCCCTCCTGAAGACCAGGTGTGCAACATTCAAGTTAGATGTGTACAGAAAATTTAGAAATGACTTCCACAAAGCCATCAGAGATGCAGAGAGGCAGTTCCAGATCAAGTTAGAGGCCCAAACCAACCATATGGAATCCTGCCGTTTGCGGCAAGGCCTAAAAATCGTAATGGGATACCAAGTGAAGCAGAGCAAGATAGTAGACAAAGACACATCCCTCCCTGATGCACTCAATGCTTTCTATATCCAGTTCAAGCAGAATGCCAATGGTGCAGTGTCACCTGCGCCAACAGCCCCGCACTTGTTCCCTCCATCAACGCTGCAGACGTTAGATCGGTCTTCCTGGGAGTCAACCCAAGCAAAGCAATGGGCCCAGACAGTGTTCCAGGCCATGTTCTTAGATCCTGTGTGGACCAACTGGCAGAGGTATTCACTGATATCTCCAACCGCTCCCTCCTTCACAACAAAGTCCCCACCTGCTTCAACAAGACCTTAATGACTACCACCCAGTGGCTCTGACCTCCACGATCATGAAGTACTTCGAGAGGCTGGACATGGCCTACGTCAACTCTAGTGTCCCAGCCTGCCTCGATCCCCTGCAATTTGCCTATTTCCCTAGCCCTGTACTCATCCCTGGAACATCTGGAAAACAAGTTCACCTATGTCAGACTCCTGCTCATTGACTACAGCTCCACCTTCAACACCATTATCCCCTCCAGACTGATATCAAAACTCCGAGACCTAGGTCTCAACTCCACTTTCTGCAACTGGATCCTCAGCTCCCTGACACATAGACCACAATCAGTGAAGATAGGCAACTGCACCTCCTCATGATAACCCTCAATACTGGAACCCCCCAAGGATGCATCCTCAGCCCCCTACCGTACTCCCTGCACAGCCACGACGGTGTTGCCAAATTCCGAGCGACTGCTACCTACAAGTCTGCTGACGACACCACCATGGTAGGATGGATATCAAACAATGATGAGTCAGAATACAGAAAGGAGATAGAGGGCTTGGTGATGTGGTGCAATGATAACAACCTCATTCTCAATGTCGGCAAAACTAAAGAACTGATCATTGGGTTCAGAAAGAAAGGAGGAGAACATCTACATCAATGGAGTGGAGGTTGAGAGGGTTGAGAGTGACAAGTTCCTAGGAGTATTGATAACCAAAAGCCTGTCCTGGACTTCCCTCGTGGATGCGATGGTCAAGAAAGCACAACAACGCCTGTTCTTCCTCAGGCAACTCTGGAAATTTGGCATGTCTATAAGGACCCTCATCAACTTTTACAGGTACACCATTTAAAGAATACTGTCCACATGCATAACAGTCTGGAATGGCAACTGCTCTGCCCAGGGCCGTAAGAAACGTAAGGTTATGGGCACAGCCCAGACCATCACGAAAGCTAACCTTCCATCCATGGACTCTATTTATACCTCTCATTGCCATGGAAAGGCTGCCAACATCATCAAAGACCCATCCCACCCCTGTAATACTCTTCTGAAACCATTTCCGTCAGCCAGAAGATACAGAAGCTTGAACACACACACCAGCAGGTTCAAGAACAGCTTCTTCCCTGCTGTCATTAGAATGATGAATGGACTCTCTAACTTCAAATACTGTTGATCTTGTTAATGTTGATCTTGCACCGTAACCTGTATGCCTCACTCTGTCCAAGTTTTTTCACCCTCGGAACCGTATATCCTTACTTACCATGATCTGCCTGTACTGTTTGCAAACAAAAGCTTTTCACTGTACTTAGGTACATGTGACAATAAATCAAATCAATCAAATCAAAAATGCGTGAGAGGATATACTGAGAAAATTAGTTGGAGGTATCCGGATGCTTGCTGAAAGGTATGATTGTGAGAGGGTGACTATGTAACCCAGTGACTTAATGATTCTGAGGGACCACTTCCTCAATTTTACAAGTTTTGTAAAATCCATCTATGTTTGACCTAGTGTTGACAGCCGTTAAGGGATTAAAGTCATTGTTGAGAACTTCAAGGGCCATAATTTCATAGGAGCAAGGAACAGGATTGGATCCTTCCAGCCTGTTGGCATTCAGTGAGATCTTATCCCTAAATAGCTTTCATAAACAAAAAAAAATCTATCTCAGATTCGAGCACCAGCTATAATTTCTTGACTTTATATTACTTTACTGTCACCACTTTATAGATATTCTTGCAAGGGACAGAACATACTGAGGAATTTGAGCAATGGGGGAACCTCAGATTTTACTAAAGGATATGGTTCTGAGAGGGTGACTATGTAACCAGTGAATTGACAATCCTTTGGGACAACTTTATCGTCTCTAAAAGTCTTGATATGGCATGTCTTGTTTCTAAACTAATTTGACACTTGGTTGCCTCAACTGTGATCTGGCCTTGATTTATCTTAGATACAAACATTCTGCCAACTGGACTACAACTGATATTTTCAAGTTTGGACTCTGTGCAATGCTGGGCATGAGCCTAATTATCAGCAGATCAATGATAGTCACTGACGAACATGTATCTTTTACCTGGAGGGTAGTAGTCAGTAGGCTTTTCTGGAAAACAAAAATTAAAAACTCAATCATCATCAGGACAGAGATTGTGTGTCAAATCTGCATTTAAAAGACAGAATTGAAAAATACCAAATAAGCTTTATCACAGATCTCTTTTACATAAACAGCTAATGCCCAGTTGTCAGAATGGACAAACCTTTTGTAACAGAAACTGAAGTTTGTGAAACAGGCTTGAGTAACTGAATACACTGATCTTGTACCATTGTGTGAAGCACACTGGCTGTGATGATGAAGTTCATGACATGCCAATGTGACCCAAATGATTCCTGTCAATATACAAACTAAATGTATCAAAATACACAAAACACATTTATTACAATCTCTCAACAATTCAATTCTAGGGCATGGTTAATGTCAATGCCCATGAATTTACATTGTGCTAACACTTATCCGTGACTCATTTTGCCACAATTTGACAATGGTCCCAAAGAAAGAGCATGAAGAGTAACTTTCTCTTGACCACACTGTGAAATTTGGGCCTCCGTTTCAAATAATCCTTCTGAAGAGCCAGTGGACTGTATATAAACCAGTCCCAGTATATTACCAGACCCGTGGGGAGAAAAAGGTGTCCATTTACACAATCCCAGTGAGCTCTGTGGTATTAGGCACTACTGAGCCAATTGGATTTCTATAGTCAAGTCCTGATGTGACATTTAAAAGCATAAACTTTGCTGTAGAGATGAGATTTCTCTCAATTAAGCCACGGCTAAAACACAGATTTGAACACGGTCAAAATGAGGCACAACAGCAAAATAGAAGGGATTCAAAAATATTCATTGACTAGCATGGATATTGTTACCTGGTGCATAGTAGTCACTAGGTTTCCCTGCAAAATAAAAATTAATCTTCAATCAATATTAAACAGAAAGGAGTTCTTCCACATGTACCTATTTTTAATCACTGAAAAGAAAAATGTTAGATAATTTTTGAGAATATCTGTAGAAATTAACATCTGATGCTTGCTTGTCAGAACGCTGGACAATTAACTTATAAGATCAGAAGGTTTGAGTGACATGAATGAGCTAATTTTATATATTTATCACCTCAACGGTTGCTACAAACTGGGATCAGGAAGAATTTTAAACAAGTTTGTGAAACAAACATATTAAATCACTCAGCACACTTTCATCAGAATCTCTCTCTAGCTGAATTCAGGGTCATTAGTCAATGTAACTGACTGCGAATTTCTACTGGGCCACCAGTGATGCCTTGCTGTAGTTTTGTCACAAAACATGCAGAGTAAGTGAAGACACCATTGTCCCAGAGGACCACACGGCTGCTCTGTCATTAATGAGGGATGACTGGGGGTGACTTTAACCTGAGGGTCATTATGCTTCAGGTGAGGTTGAAGTGGCGAGTGCTTTATGGTGTCCTCAGTGAGTGCTGGAACTAAACACACACTGTGATCGCATCTCTCTGCATTGCAAACCAGATGTCCAGTCAACTGAGCTAACCCACTGCCTACAAACAGAGAGAACTCCCTGTGAAATGAGTAGTGTGTTATTTGGTTCTTAAACAATTCTGAGATTCACTGTGAATTTTTTTAAAAACCATGACAAATAATAAATCTAATTCTGTCAAGCATCAGTGGATTGTAGATTATCTAGTGCCCATGTATCACCAGGTCATAGGAGGGCAACAGTGCGAATTTACACAATCCTGCTGACCTACGTGATATCAGGAGGTTAGCTCCTTTCAATCCTTGTGCACATGACAGTTCACACCGGATCAGGAGATGGACGTGTCCTGATCCATTGCTATTCAGGCAGCCTGAAGCTCTCCAGTTGCATTGAAGATTGTGCCATTAAAGACAATGACATTTATCAGGCAGCTTTCATGATAGCTATCCTTAATCTTTGTAATTCAGGGTATGGCAGAGGTGCCACGCAAGACGATGGAGCACTCCAAATTGTCAAGAAAGGCTATATTTCATTACAAGGTCTGTACATTTGTCCCTCACAACAATGTTGTCCCAGATTGAGGTATCTGCAATGACAGGATAGGTGATGACCTCAAGTAGCTTTATTCATTTGTGCTCGTTCTCTCACCACATCACCCAGGCCCAGTCTAGCAGATCTAACTTTTGGGCTGTGACCAGTAGTTCTGCTATACTGACCCGTTTTAGGTCATGGACATTGAAATTCCCCATCCAGTCTGCAAGTTGTGCAACTTCCAAGTTTTGTTTTAACCGAGGAGCTCTCATTCATCAGCCGTGAAATTGTGGCCTCAATAATTAGAGGTGGTTTACTTCTACATTTGACCTAAAGCAGTCAGCCTTCAACTGATCCAAGTCATTGGTGAGATATTCCAGGTCATGATTTCTTGACTTTATAGGACTGTGCTGCCACCAACTATAGACATTTGTTGTGTATATTCCAAGTGCGACAGGATATACTGAGGAAATTAGTTGAGGTATTTGGGATGTTTGCTGAAAGGTGACTATGTAACAAGTGAATTGACAATCCTGTGCGACAACTTTCTCAACTCTACAAGACTTGATATGGTTTGTCCTGTTTCCAAAATAACTTGACGCTCGGTTGCCTCAGCTGTGATTGGCTTTGATTTGCCTCAGATACAAACATTCTATAATTGCACCACAGCTGATATTTTCAAGTTTGGACCCTGTGCAATGCTGGGCCTGAGTCTAATAATTAATAGCAGATCAATGATAGTCAATGACAAGCATATACTCTTTTACCTGGCAGATAGTAGTTGATCGGCTTTTCTGGAAAATAAAAATTAAAACTTCAATCATCATTAGAACAGAGATTGTATATCAAACCCGCATTTAAAAGAAGGAAATGAAAATACTAAATACACTTTGTCACAAATCTCATTTATGCAAACAATTGTAAGAACGGTCAAACTTTTCAGGAGCAGCAGTGCTGCCAAAGAAACAGCAAAGACTGTCATTTGGCCTTGACCCAACTTTGCAATTTAGAGAAATCATTTCATACAATCTCTCTCAAGATCAGTGTAAACTAGATTATCCAGCATCGATACAAAAATAGCAACCATTTATACAAACTCTGTGAGCTCTGTGTTGTGAGGAGTGCATCTCATTTGAAAAATAGGGTAGTAGACGCATCATGGCTGTTTGGGATTCAGGGATTCAGTAGCACTGTGAGTTCTCAAAAAATATTATAAACTTAAAAAGATGGCATGGATTTATATAAAGTACCTGACATCACACAGATGATTCAAGTAAATTGAAGTGTAGCTACAACAAATGTGTCAGTCATTTCAGTACTGTAAAATCCCATGAGTAGATATATGATCAGTTTTTATGATATATCTTGAGAAAATAATAATAACTAAGTCTCAGTAAAAAAACTCTGTTCTGATTGGAAATAATGCTGGGGAACTGAGATGGTCGTTGCTTTAAATTTTCATGCAAAGGACAGCACCTCCAACAATGCTGTACTCTCTCAGAAATGCATTGCTGTGACACTATGATTTCTATGGTCAAGTCTTCATGTGACTTTTAAAAGTAAAACTTTGCCTCAAAGTCATGATTTCACGCAGCGCAGTCTATGCTGACACTCAGTTATTGACAGAGTCAAAACTCGGGACGCAATTAAAATGGAAGGGAATTAAAGATATTCATTCACCAGTATACGTTTTGTCACCTGGTGGATAGTAGTGTCCAGAAAGAAGACATAAAGAAGATGGAAAGGAAGACATAAATGCCATCAACATTAAACATCACAGGTTTGTCAGAATCTCTCACTGACTGAATTCTGGGAAAAAGATTCTGACTATCCACCTTATCCATCCCTCTCATAATTGTGTATACTTCAATCAGCTTGGCCCTTAGCCTCCAATTTTCCAGTGAAAACAATCCAAGTTTGTCTAAACTCTTCTTGTTGCTAATAAACTCCAATAAAGGCAACATCCTGTTAAAGAGAGATAACAAGGTGTAGAGCTGGATGAACACAGCAGGCCAAGCAGCATCAGAGGAGCAGGAAGGCTGACGTTTCGGGCCTAGACCCTTCTTCAGAAGGGTCT